TTTATTTATTTGCGAGAGAGACAATGAGAGACAGAGAGCATGAGAGGGAGGAGGGTCAGAGGGAGAAGCAGACTCACTGCCGAGCAGGGAGCCCGATGCGGAACTCGATCCCGGGACTCCAGGATCATGACCTGAGCCGAAGGCAGTCGCTTAACCGACTGAGCCACCCAGGCGCCCGAAACTTTATTTAAACTTTATTAAAACTTATTTTAAAAGAATCTCAAACTTATAGAAAAGCTGCTAGTACAAAGAACTTTTTAAAATCTGGAACTATCTGAGAGTAAAGTGCTAGCACAATGCCCTGTTATACCTAAACATTTTAGCATATAGTTTCTACAACATAAGGGGTTTTCTAGATAACCACAACACAGTTACCAAAATCAGTAAAGGAGCACTGATAAATTACTACCATTTAATCCTCAGACCCTAATCAAGTTTTGCCATTTGTCCCAATACCATCCAATCAGAATTATGTGGTGCATTTAGCTGCTGTGTTTCTTCAGTCTCCTACAATCTGGAAAAGTTCCAGTCTTTCCTTGGCTTAAATATAACCTTGACACTTTGGGAGATTATAGGCCAGTTACTTAGTATTGGAATGTCCCTCAATTTGGGTTTCTTGGATGTGACCCTATGAGTAGACTCTGGTCATATATCTTGAATAAGAAGACTACAGAAGTGATGCTGCATTGTTCTCATTGCATCCTATCAGGTGACACATGTTTTTGATCTCGTTATAGATGTTAACTTGATCACTTGATTAAGGTGTTATATGCCAAACTTCACCATAAGGATACTCTTCTTTTTTTGTAGTCAATGAGTATTTTGTAGGGACATAACTTGAAGCTATGTAGATATCCCATTCTTCATCAAACTTTCAATTTATTCATTTCATTCATTATTAATCCCTCATGGTTTCCTATTTTATTCAATGGGTTATAATGTTACTATCGTAGGGTGGCTTTTGAACATGTCCCTACCAGTCTTTGAACACTTTACTTTCTGGCACAATTAGTTCTAGGTTTATCTTGTTCTTTCCCTGCCCCAGTGCTGGAATCAGCCATTTCTCCAAGGAGCCCTGGTTCGCTTTAGAACTGCCTCTCCTATGTAGACACCCTCCTCACAACACTTGTACTCTGATATCCCAAGCCAGTTGCCCCTCCACAAGGTGCCCTTCTCATCCTGCTTGGGCTTTAACAACACCTCATATTCGTCTTCTTCCCCATTCCATACCCTCCCTACTCTGCTCAGGCTCTAACATCCTGCTCTGTGCCACAAAAGCTCCCCCCACCTGGCATGGATGGCCTACCTTACTTGGCCTCACCTAATGGCTTTAGGAGTATACTGTTCAGGAAGGGAGAAGGTAAGATATAATGCAATTCAGCCTTATTACTGAAAGATTTGATTTTTCCAAAGCTAACAAATCTCAATTTTTATGTGAAATCTATTTTCAAATGCTGGCACCTCACTCAAAATTTCTAAAAACAATGCACAGACCATACAAGACCTGTTTACAGAGCTGAATCTTGCTTGGAAACCACAAGTTTACAATCTACTTTTCAGAGGCCACTTCTTGTATCCTACTGAGGATTGCCAGAGAATCTTCTAAAATTTTCTTTTGTTTTCTACAGAAAATAATTTTCAGAGCATTGCTCTCCCTGGGAGTCTTTAGGATATTTCCTTTCCTTGTTACATAAACGTTCCATAGTCTACATGCATAGCTTCTGTCCTGTTCCTAGCATCCAGAGGCCTTTTAAATATGGCACTTAATGAAGTAGGACCTTCTTCTCCCGCCACTGTCTGCATTTTTGACACTCTGACCTAGTAAAATACATAAAGAACTAAAATCACCAGTTTGTACTCCTACAAGTGTTCTTCCTGCTCTATACCCGTGGTTCTCCGTAGCTGCACATTAGAATCACCTAGAAAGCTTTTAAAACTCAAGATACCCAGACCAAATCCCAGACCCAAATGGGGTGGCGGAGGGATTATGACATCAGTAATTTTATTAAAACTGCCCAGGTTATTCCATTATGCAGCCAAGACTGAGAACCACGTTCTGAAACTTTTTCTATAAAGGGCCAAACAACAAATATTTTGGACTTGTCTCTGTCAAGCTACTCATTTCTGCCATTCTAGAACAAAACCCACCATAGATAACAGGCAAACAAATGAGTGTGACCATATTTTTTTCCCCCCAAAAAACCGTTATTTACAAAAACGGGAGCGGACTGGATTTGACCCATGGGCCGTGGTCTCTCAACCCCTGTTCTATACCCACATACAGGACATTAGTTTGGAGCCTATACCTAAATGGATACCATCCAACACTAACTCTTCAGTTCTAAATCTCTATCCTAACTACCTGCCTGAGAATCTGGCGGGAAGCTGAGAATATATGACTGGCTGTAGAAGTAGAGTCCTATGACTGGGAAAATAGCTCAAATAGTCAGCACTCACATGGTAAAGGGATGGTTCCTATCAGTAGATCTAAGAATTCTCTGATATGCTTATTAAAACACAGATTCTCAGGCCAAAACCCTACAAATTCCAATTCAGCTGTTCTGGTGGAGGGCCCAAGAAACTGCATCTTAAACAAGCACACCAGTGACGAGGATGCAGATGAGTGCTCTTACTCAGTGTAGACATGCTGGCCCTGTGGTACGAAACCACTCAGGAAACAGGAAATTTAGCATCCCTGGCCCTCATCCGTCAAATGCCGGTAGAGCCCTTCAGTTACTTTGATAAGTACTGTACATTCCTAAATACCCTCTGGGAAGGAAGGAGCACCTCCAATGTGATCCAATCCATAAGCACAAAGAATCAATGGTTTTCCTACTGTCAGGCTGATGTGCTAGCTACATCACATCTATTCCTAAAGTCCATTATATTCTCTAACACATTTCCTTCCTTCTAGTCTTCCCTGCTCAAAACCATCTTCCACACGGTCATCAATGTTACAACTACCTAAAATACGGAATTGACTATGCCATCCCTCTATGTAAAACCCTTCTTTAAAAGCTTCTCCCACCAAGGATCTCTAAAACCATTAAGCAGGAGAGAGGAAAAAAATAAAACTTGAGCACAATAAAGTATGGCAAAGCACATATATGATTTCACTTTAAAAAAATATATATGTGGGGGGGTGGGTGCCTGGTGGCACAGTTGGTTGGGCAACCGACTCTTGGTTTCAGCTCAGGTCCTGGTCTCAGGGATGAAATCGAGCCCCATGTCGGACCTGCACTCAGCACAGGGTCTGCTTGGGATTCTCTTTCCCTCTCCCTCTGCCCTCCTGCTTAAATAGATTTAAATACAGATATACGTATATATATGCACATATATGTATATATGTATGTATACGTATATGTATATATAT